TTCTGTATTAGTCCATTTCTGTTGCTTATAACAAAATACACAGAACTGGGTAATTTATAAAGAAAATAAAATTTATTCCTTACAGTTTCAGGGGCTAGGAAGTCCGAAGTCCAGGGAACACTTATGGTGAAAGCCTTCTTTGGTGGTGGCTTTACAGCAATGCAGTGGTCTCACATGGTAGAAAATGGTAGAGCAGAGAGAGAGAGAGAGAGTAACCTCCTCATTCACTCTTCTTTTAAGGCCCTCAGAAACACGCCCCTGACCATCATTATTAATCCATTCGCTACTACATGGTCCTACAATCCAATCACCTCTTCAAGGCTCCACCTTTCAATTATAATAATAGGGTTTCCTACCTTAGTCACAGTAGGGGCTAAGTTTCTAATATATAAAACTTCAGGGACACAATTCAAGCTTCAGTGAGTTTTGAGGGGACATAATTCAATCCACTACAGGGCATATAGCTTCTTGAATCTTCTTAAAGCTTTCCTTTTCTGTTTTTTTTTTTCATTACTTCTTTAGTATATAATTTACACAGTATGCTGAACACAGTAATACATCTTTTCCCTTGTGCTGCAACTTAAGAAAATAAAGTTCTTGTGCTGGTTATTCTCTAATTCCTGTTGATTAAAGAAAAATACAGCCAGTCCCAGAACTTGTCCTTTGTGGATTTTCCTTACCTATCTACTTAGTCCTAACAGAATTCTTCTTTTAGATCATTGCTAGTGGTGGATTTACAGTTTTAAGTCCTATTTCTAGTGAATACTTGGTGGTGATTAGTTGTAGTTCTTTCTCCATTTGGTACTTTGGTACTTGATCCTAATAAAGGATCTGGAAAAAAAAGTTCATTATTAGAGTGGATAGCACTAACTATGCAGTAGCCACTTTGTCTTCTGCCCAGCTCTTATCACATCTTAATTACTCTTCTCTGAAATCAAAGAGCTATTAGCCTTACACCTCTATTTCCTGAGAGGACTCTGAAGGACCTCCTTTGTTTTAGATTGGAAATTAATTTGCTCTAGATTGAATGTTGTCTTATTCAGTCCCCTTTACTGAGATCTTCAGTCTCTGAATACAGAAAGGAATGTCAGGGAAAGGAGATATAAAGGAAGAAGATTCTGTATGTCTTAAAACACATCTGCATAGTAGATGTATGGCTACTCATTTTTGTTTAGGACGTATAATGTAACTCTGACTTAAGTATGTGGTGGGGAGTCTAACACCTTTACCAAACTGCAGGAAATCAGGGCTATTTTATTTTGTATCATGAATTGCTGAACTTCTCTATTCAGAATCTCACAATAATCCAATTAGTTTTAAGCATTGTAATGCATGTAATTGCAACAGGGCATGTTTAATCTCATGTTTTACTCTAGAAGTAATAAACAAGTTTTAAACACTTTACCCCACCACTACAACCATAATCATCTCATGTTAAAAGGAGTCTACTAGCAACTCAAAGCTGTCAACTTCATTTGATAATTTAAACCTTAACTCTTCTATGACTCTTTGTGTCCCCTACAAAATACTCTGGGAGAGAAGGGCCAGTTGTATATCTCAAGACAACTTCTTTTTTTTTTTTTTTCCTTTTTGTCTTTTTTTACTGACCAGTAACGGGATCGCAATCCTCGGTGTCGCGCCCGTACCGGGTACCGGCAACGGGATCGCAACCCTCGGTGTTGCGCCCGCACCGCGCTCAGCCAGTGAGCGGGAACCGGTCTCCACATGGGATCCGAACCCTCAGCGGGAGCGCCGCCCTCCCAAGTGGCGTACTCTCCAGTGCGCCACCGGGCCGGCCCCTCAAGACAACTTCTTTTATTCCCTCCTATGGGTGGGATGTAGCCATGAATGGGTTTGAAGTAGAGTAGAAACTTTGGTAGCTTAGTGGGGGCCAGATTTGAGGCAAGTGGAGGAAGATTAGAGAAAGAAGGACCAGTTAAGAGGCACTTGTTAGTTCAAGTCAGGCAGAAGAGATGGGGACTTGGAGTACCTCAGTGGGAATACTGATGGTAGAATAATTTGGAGAATTTCTAGGAAGCAGAATTGACAGGGCTCTGTGATTTATTGGGAAAGGAAAGTTAAAGGAAAAGGATTACCCTCAGGTTTCTGGTCTGGGGGATTCAGTTGTTGATGAAGTCACCAACTGATATAAGAAATGCAGAAGGATCTAGAGGGATTAGATTTGAAAGCTAGGAATATATGGAAAATTATGAGCTCCAATTTGTGCATATTGAATTTGAAGTGTTCATGGGACATTCAGTTGTTTATGTTCAGTAGTAAATTATATAACCCTGATGCTGAGGGAGAGATTAGTGGTAGAGGTATAGATTTGGGATTTCTCAATTTATGGATTATTAAAGCAAACTTCCCAGGGAGCCTGTGAAGAGTGAAAAAGGTAATCCCCTGAAGATAGAACCCTAGGGACACCTCTATGTGAAGAGGACAACAGAGAATGAGGAGGGAGACTGTGGAGTTTCAAAAGGTGTCTTCAGGTTGGAATATAGTAGAGAGGCAAAGGGAAATAGAGACTGAGATGCTTCTGTTGGATTTGGCCAATTAGCGTTTGTTTTGGTGAAATTAGTGTGACTCCATCCAATGGACGTTAGTAATAGCTGGGAACTTTAAGATCATGTAGACTTTCCCCTTATCTTTAAATATAAGAACATTTTAGATATAAGAATCTTGATAATTTTTATCTAGGTTACAACTAAAAATGTTCCTTTTATATAGCCAATAAACGCTTTACTGGCAGAGCCAGAGGTAGAAATCACACATTTAGATTCATGTTGGGAGGAAAGCTTTTCGTCTACTGTCTGGAATGGTCGAGGGCCTGACAATTAACTGACAATATACAGATTAACAGTAGAAAAGGCAAGGCTTATTTACATGTACATGCTGGAGTACATAGTAGTGAGTAATTTGCTAAATAGCCAGAGGTAAAGGTTTAGATACCAGCTTTAAAAAAAAAAAAGAGGGAGTATTTAGGGATTCAGTGGTAAAGTATGAAAGTTTCTATTGGGCTTCCAGTAGAGAGGGGTCAATGGCAGCTGTATTTTTTTGGGAGGGTCAATGGCAGTTATATTTTCAGGAGTATCTGCTTAAGTTTAGGTAATGTTTCTTTCTGTGGCTGCTGATCGTTCAGATATTTTCTCTTAATTTTAATTCCTCATTTACATGGTTGTGTTCTTTCCCTTTACCATTTTTTTTCTCTTCTGGCCTGTGTTCCATAGTACTCCAGAGGCCCATGAAAGTATTTAAGTTCCCCCCAAAGAGTGTATTTTTCCTCTGTTGAAAAGATTTAAATTTCCTGAAGATCTCATTTATCACACTGACTTGATTATAATTTTATTGAAAAAGATTATGTTCCTAATACATATTTTTAATTAAAACACTGTATAAAGCCTCCAAATCCAAGGACATTCTGTATTGTGTTAAATTTCTCAAATAGGGACCCCTCATTTTTTTTTTTTCAGCTGTAGTTCATTTCTTCAACAAATATTTATAAAATGGTTACTGTGGATGAGACAGTCTTAGGCATGAGACTAACAGCAGTGAACAATCAGATAAATAGCCATCCCTTTATAGAACTTGTATTTGATATTTCCAATAAACTTGAAAATTTTCATAACAAAATATATAAAATTTTTAAATTTTAATTAGTGAGTCCTTACAAAAAAATCTAAAATAATGCCTCTGTAGTTTTATGGATTTAGATTCATTATTATGAAATCATTAGATCAAATGGAAGATTGAATTTATCTGTGAAAATTATTCTTAGCACATTTTCAGTAACCCTCTCTTAGTTTTCATATTCTTCCATCATTAACTCATTAGTTCTCATAATTAGTAAATCATCTGAACAGCAATCCCTTGAGAATTCTTGCCTTGATATTATTGATGAGGAAATTAGGACAGAGAAATTCAAAATGAGTTGTCCAAGGTTATCAGTGTCCTACTCAAAGTCAGAATTCCTACCTCTTGATTCTTTTCTCATTTCAATAGTATCCTGACCTCCACGATTATCTATACGCATTCATCAACATGGTTTAATTTATGAAGATCCTTAATTCTTAACCATTAAGATGCATTTTATTAGGTAGACAAAAAATAAATTAAAGATTAATTTTGCAGAAAGCTTTCCATCTGGACTCGTCTATTAAACTAATCTACAAGTCTTTCACTTTTAGAAATGTGACTTTAAATGAATATAAGATCATTTAAATATATAGTGAAATCCTTTTAATATTTGGAGTTCTGTAGTTAACCTCTGCATCAGACCTTGCTCTTCACTAAAAGTGTTTGTCCATGTGGTTAATTGGAATAAAATATAAAGTTAGAACCCATTAATTGTACTTATTAATGCTAGATGAATATACACATGCAATATAGTGGGTAATTAAAGGAAATATATAAATAATCCCATATTAAAAATTGGGATTTGGGGAACTTAAATTACCCAATAACTACCATAATCCTCCTTCATTTGATATATATTGACTAGGCTCAAAGTTTTGAGTTAACACAGAATGGGCTGTGTTAATGATAAGAAACAAATGATTTGTTCATTTTAGAAAATCTGACCGTTACCGTGAAATCATCTCATAGACATTATATAATGCACATTATATATTTTATGTGTTTATATGTTATATATGTGTATATATATGTATGTATGCACACACATACTCACACTCACTCATACAATACACAAACTTCAGCAACTCATTAGGAAATAAGGTAGTTCATGGCTCAAGGAATCGTTTATTTTTAAAAGCATTTTATTCAAATATGTACATATGCAGAAAAAGTATATGCATTATATTATAAAGTTTTCACTAACCGAACATAGTATAGGGGACATTTTACCTTTTGACTAATTAAAAAAATATTTAATGAGAGAGAGATCATAAAAATGTATTAGGAGATTTCAATGTATAATTGAATAAGAAAAAAAGCTAAAAGCACTAATTACTTCTTAATACTTAAAAAATGTTTTCCAGGTCTCTTTGATGTTATTTTCAACCAAGGAAATATATGCATTTTCCAAAGTCATGAGATAAGACACCTTTCTCTTGCCCTTGACAATGGTTTCATCACTGGAATGGTGTGTAGTAAATTTTCTCTTTGCCATAATAGTATTATATCCATGTATAATATACTTCTGCATAATGTACTTTTATAAGATTATCAAATTGTATTTTTCTTTGGCTTTTACTTATACTTTTTTCATTATTTTGTTTCATTTCACTGTTTTTTGAAATTCTGATGCATAAATGGTCCTAAATTTCAGCAATTTGAATTTAGACAAGAAAAGGTAGACCAATTCTCTGATAACATTCAAAATTTTAATGAGCTTTCAAAAGGCGGCTAACTTCTCAAAGACCTCTTTAGGGACCACATTGTTGGGAAAAACACAGAAATTTTACCTAATTATGCTTTGTGTTGCTTAGCCTAGGTTTGAAAAGTAGTTTTTAATATATAAAGCTGTCTTTAAAATGCATTCATGTTATTTAACAGCATAGGAATGTCTACCTGTAGCACAACCTCCTCAATTTTAGTCTTTGAAAGAAAAATGTAGGAATGAGATAAGACTTCTGTTTAATTTCAGTTTTTAGTCCCAAATAGGCTTGAATTAGGAGGAAAAAAAGAATAAATGAAAAATAACCAACAATAAAATATATATTCACTTGTCATTAAATTATCTTGCCACAGGAGTTATTTTTATAATTACCCAGCAATTTTCCCACGAGTTCAGAGAAATCAAGAGGAGAAAACCTTGGAACAAGTCTCTAGAAATAAGACTGGGGAATAAAAGCATGAGATTACATAAATAGTACAAGGATTCTATAGAGTGAAGACGACCTGTATATAATATCAAGACATTTTCTTTTTTTTTCTCTTCGTAATTCAGAGGGGTTTCTTTTGTTTTTGTTTTTGTTTTTTCCTTTTTCTTTTAGTCTAGTCGTGGAGCCGCCACAGAGCTGCGGGTGCTTTATCAGCCCAACCGATGTGCACTTCTCGAATCAGTACTGATTCCTGGTCACACAGTTGTTTTTGATCGTCATGGCAAAATAGCTGATGAATCATCAGCAGGAGGTGCAGACCTTTCAAAAGAATTTGTCGTTTTCGTCAAGGTAAAATGGAGGAAAGTCATTAAAGTTTATATTGCTAAATACCAACTTTCTTTTGCCCGGTTTAGGAAAACTCTTAAATTGATTCATGATGCTGTAATCAAATCTCTTTCCACTAGGTGGCACTGGTACTGTTACCATTCTCTATGAAAGGCAATAGAGATGACAGTTTTAGCAGCAATGAAACTGTGATGGAGTAACATCCTATGTCTGTGTGAAGTTGGAGGAAAAGACAGTGGATTTAGGGATTCTTAGTAATACATTAGAGAATCTTGCTCTTGAAAGTCAAATAAATGTGTATATTTAGTCTTTCTGACAATTAGAATTTTGAGTGTTATATACGGGGAACACGTGATCATTTCATAATGCTTATGGTTCTTTCTTTACTTTTTAATTTTTTTGGCAGCTGGCCAATACAGGGATTGAACCCTGGATCTTGGTGTTACCAGCATCACACTCCAACCAACTGACCTAACTGGCCAGCCCTATGCTTCTTTCATTATAGTGCGTGTTTGTGAATTTACCTTAAAAATAATATTATGATATTAATATAATAACTATTATTTATGAGATTGCCCATTTTGTGCTAGGCCCTTTATGAAAAGCTTTACCACATACAGGACCAAATTTATTCACCATGAAAATACTGACATGTTGTTATCTTCAGGGAAATGAATGATCTTGAGTAGCAAAGCATTCTTAGAAAATGGTGGATCATGATTCAAACTAGTCTATTTGCCTTTAAAACTTTTTGTATTTGCTATATAATAAACATTTCCTCACATTATTATTTTCCCAAAACAACATAATGTTAACTCATAACATATTATTTAGCTTAAAATTAAACTTAAGTTTAATGGTTTCATAATATTCAGACATAAAGATTATATATATATGCATATATATGTATTTTTAAAATTATTGAGCATTTTATCTCTTTTGATCTTATCGCTTCTGCATATGATACTGCAGCATATACTTTGGCATATGCCTTTGACCACATCTTTTATTATTTTCTTAGCCTAGATAATTAGATGATGAATTTAAGGGACACAGTATGAAACTTTTAACGCTCTAGGAACATTCTGCAAAATTTCTTTCCAGAAATGTACCAATTTTTATGCCCATGAAAGTTAAGCCAACTGTTAGTTAAAGGGAACAGTCTGTATTACCACTCTCACTTATGACACCAACCACGGAGTCTGGAGATTCCTGAGACCACTCTCAAGGCTTGATAATTCACTAGAAGGACTTACAGAATTCATTGATAGCTGTTGTACTCACAGTTGCAGTTTATTACAGAGAAAGGATACAGATTAAAATCAGCTAAGTAAAGAGACACATTGGGCAGTCTAGAAAAAGCTCCACGTGTGGAGCTTCTAGTTGTCCTCTTCCCATGGAGTCAGGACAGTTACTTTTTTAGCACTGATTTATGTCAAAACACACAGGGCATTGCCAGCCAGAGAAGCTCACCAGAGCCTTGATGTTCAGCATCTTTATTGAGATTTCATCATGTAGGAAGTCCATGTAGCTGATCTCAGTCTCCAGCCTGTCAGGATGTCAGTTGACACTTTGTGACCCAAAGCCCCCCATCCTAAGCCACATTGTTACTATCGGCTAGCCCAAACCCCTTAGGCAAACAAAGACCATCCTATCAGGGATAACACTCCAAGAGCTTAGAGATGATTTCTCAGGTGCTGAGGCAAAGGTCAGACCTCTCTGGGTAAAGATAATTCTTTGCAACTCAGTTCCCTTCAGCAGTGTAGGAGAGTGCTCATCTCACTGACCTTAGTGTTGACTGTGGTTTGTTTTTTTATTTAAATTTTATTATGTTTTAATTCAATTTTGTTTATTTTTCTGGGGTACAGTGTGTTGTTTCAATACATGCATATCTTACACGATGATTCACTTAGGGTAGGTAGCGTAGATTTGTCCCCATTAGTTCACCCTAATCTTCCGTCTATCCCCCGACATGCCCCAGCCTCTGGTAACCCTTATTCTACTCTCTCTTTGTTTTAGACACATAGAGATTGACATCCTTATTGCAAAAGGAACTCTTAAAAAAGAAAATCTAAGGAGAAATTTGGTGAAGGACATAGGCAGATAATTCACACACCCCAAAGAAACCCCGTGGTTGATAAGTACATTCTAGGATCTGGTTGTGAGTGGGGGCAGGGCTGGCCCGGCCACCATCTGAGGATCCTGGGCATACACTGGTTCTGTTGCTGGCCTGGATGTGAGGCAGGCGGGGCTAAGGCCCACGGGCAGTCTCCCAGGACCCCGCAGGTGTTGGGCTTGCTCTGTAGATGGCCTGGATGTGCTTGAGTATGGTTTTTAAAGAGAAAAATTTTTGACAGTTTTCTAGAGAAATAAACTAATTTTAACTTGTATTTTTTTTATTACTAGTGTGGATTACCTTCCTTATGTTTATTACCAATTGTACTTTGTCTTTTGTGATTTGTGTTTGTTTTTTATACATTTCTGTACAGTGTTAGTGTATTTTTAATTAACTTTCAAAAGCTTTTTTTTTTTACTTATGCATATTCATATGGTACAAAGCTGACCATCACCACCCGTGCCCAAGATGTGATGATCAGATTAATACTATCAGCATGTCCATTACCACAAATTGCAGTTCTATATCTTCCTCTTAAGTGGAAGGATTTACTTAAGTACCTTAGCTGTATTTGATATCTCTTTTTATTCATATTTACATGTATATATTTAACTCATATCCGTGAAGAAACTTACGTAATTCATGTACTCCTATAGCACACTCTTTTTATTTTCTTTATATTAGCATTAGTTATTTGTTCATAGTGATTATAAATTCCTTAAGAGAAATATTTGTTTTGTATCTTTTTAAAATCTCTGTAGCATTGGATACTGACCTGTACACACTCAATAGATAATAATTGATGTAAATCAACTTCCTTTAGTTTTGTTTATCTTGGCATAGCAGTTAAATTATTTATTTATTTATTTAGCTCATTTTTAGCCACCAAGCTTCTGGTAGGATCCTGATTGCTGCAACTCTGTAAGAGAATTGACTCTCTAGTCATCTGCCTTTGGCAGAACATGAACCTGTTACTTACTGCCTTTCTGTTCTGTTTGCTGCTCGGTAGGGCGTGTTCCTCAACAGTGCTGTGGTTCTACTTGCTACAAGCCTGTGTCAGGCCCTATGTCTCCAGCCCGATGGGAGCTGCACAGGAGCGGGAAACCAGTCTGAAAAATCCTACTGGAAAGTACATAAAATCAGCTCTGGGATTTGCATGTTTGAAAGTGTGAAAAATGCACATATGTATCTGAGGATTAAGGATGGCCAGTGTGATGGAATAGTAAGCATCTGCTCTTATTTCTTTCAGCGAATGTTTAGGACATTTGCCAGTAACAGACATGGGAACAGCACTTTCTTAGGTTTTGATTTTTAGCTTTTCTTACAAACATTTTGGAAATTGGATGTTATATGTGGCAGTCCCTCTCGATTGCCATTTTTTTTTTTGTCTTTTTTTTCCGTGTCTCGATTGCCATTTTTTTTTTTGTCTTTTTTTTCCGTGTCTCGATTGCCATTTTTAACAAGTGGGGAGGATAGCCACGTGCCTGGTATGATGAGAGAGGGCTCATGACCTTCTAGACAGTGCTTCTGAAGTGTAATGTGCATATAAATCACCTGGGAATTGTGTTGGAAAGCAGATACTGATTCAGAAAGACTGGGGTAGGACCTGAGTGTCTCATTTCTAACAAGCTCCCAGTTCTTGCTGGAAATGCTGGTCCTTAAGCCATACCTTGAGAACGAAGACTGTAGAAAGTCTCAGCTCCACAATGTTTTATTATTGCTCCTTTTGGTGCCTGAATTTCCACCATTGGAAACACATTGCCATAGTACTGGAAGTTCTAGCCAGTGCAATAAGGCAACAGAAAGCAGTAAAGGACCATGAAATCAGAGAAGAGGAAATCAGACTATCCCTATTTGCAGATGACATGATCCTATACATAGAAAACCCGAAAGATTCCACCAAAAATTTACTAGAACTAATAAATGGGTTCAGTATAGTGGCAGGATACAAAATCAACACACAAAAATCAGTACCCTTCCTGTATGCCAATAACGAAATAGCCAAAGAAGAAATCAAGAAAGTAATCCTATTCATAATAGCTACCAAAAAGAAAAAAAAAAGAAATACCTAGGAGTAAATTTAACCAAGGAGTTGAAAGACCTCTACAATGAAAACTATAAGACATTGGTGAAAAAAATTGAAGAGGACACAAATAAGTGGAAAGAAATCCCATGTTCATGGGTCAGAAGAATTAATACCACTAAAATGTCCATAATGTCCAAAGCAATCTACACATTCAACACAACCTCTATCAAAATACCAATGATATCCTTCACAGAAATAAAAAAAAAAAAGATCTTAAAATTTTTATGGAACCACGTAAGACCCCATATAGGTAAAGCAATCTTAAACAAAAAGAATGAAGTTGTAGGCATCACACTTTTTGACTTCAGAATATACTATAAAACTATAGTAACCGAAATAGCATGGTACTTGCTTAAAAATAGACAAATTGACCAATGGAATGGAACACAAAGCCCCAAAATAAACCCACACATTACAGCCAACTGATTTTCAACAAAGGTGCCAAGAATATATAATGGGGAAGGGACAGACTCTTCAATAAATGGTGCTGGGAAAACTGGATATTCACATGCAGAAGATTAAACTATCTCTCAGTGTATTCAAAAATCAACTCAAAATAGATCAAAGACCTAAATTTAAGACTCAAAACTGTGAAGCTACTAGAAGAATACAAAGGGGAAATGCAATTCAAAATAGATGTGGGCAACATTTTTTGAGTGAGACCACAAAGGCACAGGCAAGTAAAGCAAAAATACACAAATGGGACTCCATCAGACTGAAAGGCTTCTGCAGAGCAAGGGATACTGTCAATAAAGTAAAGAGACAACCTACAGAATGAGAGAAGGTGTTCGCAAAGTACACATCATATAAGGGGATAATATCCAGAATATATAAGGAACTTAAACAATTCAACAGCAAAAAATCAGATAAACAATTAAAAAAATGAGCAAAGAGCCTGAATAGACATTTCTTGAAAGAAGACATACAAATGGCCAACAAGCACATGAAAAAATGCTCAAGATCACTAATCATCAGGGAAATGCAAATTAAAACCACAATGAGATATCATCTCACTCCAGATAGAATGGCTACTATCAACAAGACAATAACAAATGCTGGTGAGGATGTGGAGAAAAAGGAACCCTTGTACATTGTATGTGGGAATGAAAATTGGTACAGCCTCTGTGGAAAAGAGTATGGTCTTTCCTAAGAGAACTAAAAATAGATCAAGCCAGCAATCTCAGTACTGCATATATAACCAAAGGGGAAAAAATCCATATATCAAAAAGACACCTGCACTCCATGTACATTGTAGCACTATTCACAGTAGCCAATAGATGGAATCAACCTAATTGTCTATCAGTGGATGAATGGATTAAAAAACTGTGGTATATGTACACAATGGGATACTACTCAGCTGTTAAAAAAATGGTATCCTATCATTTGCAGCAATATGGATGGAACTGGAAACCATCATATTAAGTGGAGTAAGTCAGGCAGAGAAAGACAAATACTGCATGATGTCACTCATATGTAGAATTGAAACAAACAAACAAAAGTGGTTCTTATAGAAGTAGAGAGTAGAATAATGGTTACCAGAGGTTGGGAGGTGAGAGAGGTGGGGCAGGGAGGAGGAAGAGTGGTGGACTAATGGGTACAAAACAATGTTATTGATCCTAAGTGAATCATTATGCAGCATATGTATGTATTGAAACAACACACTGCACCCCACAAACATGTACAAATAAATGTTAAAAATAATTTCAAATTCTATTAAGATCAGGAGTCCTTTAATATCTGAGCCTTAGGAGGGGATGTGGAAGGCAACTAACATAATCACTTTTGTATATTCATAGTTGTGGGGGGTGAGGGGCATATCAGAGTACGTATTTAACTTTCCTATTAATGCTCTCTCAATCTATTCTTGTTTGAAAAAGTTCAGTTTAATCTATGTCTTTTGGATAAATTCAGAGATCTTTCCTCTCTCTTCTTTTTCCAGCATGCCATCTGGCTATACATGAGAACTTGCATGAGTTCGTGAGGGTAAGAGGAGGGAGGGTTTAGACATTTCATGTCCTCTGAGTCCCTGTCTTTGCTGTAGACTGGCGAGTCTATGTCTGGTGAGCTGCAGTAATGATCACAGTGCACAAGGAAAAAGCACATGCAAACACACACACATTTTATTAACATCTCTAATCCACTACAAGAGCATGGTTAAGTTGGTTATATCACCATTTCACAGAAGAGGAAGCCAAGCTTAAGAGACAAAGTGTCATGCTGTGTTCTTTTATTTGGTTAGTGGATTAATTGGGATAAAAATAGGTAACATCACTATTATGGCCAGATTAGTTAAGAGTATGATTTCATCTAATGCTCAGTAACCCTATAGGAGGAATATCAGGAAGTAGTTTTCAAATCATCAACATCTACAAGGTATACAAACCTTTTTCTTCTGGAGCTGGTAGGAGTGTTCAGAACCATGAGAAAATGTGTAACTATATGACATAGGCTTTGGTATGTGAGCTTAGAAGTTGTTGGGCAGAGATGGGGAAACAGGTAAGTGTCACTCTAAAGTGGGAGGTGGGCTGACACTGGGAATTTCTATCTTCTCTGGATGGCAACCAAAGGGACAGCTCAGTGGTCACTCACCTCCTGTTTAGCTAGCTGCCTCATACTCAAGTTAGGTGGTGATTTTCATCATTCTTTGATTTCTCCCATTGCAGTCTGTGTGTCCCTCCCTCTCTCTTCCATTGTTTTATTGGTGCTGGTTATGTTGTCCCTTCAAGGGAGCAAACATTCTCTGCAAGTTTATAGCAGAATCTTCTTGTCCTGCACTAAATACTCATGCTTTTTTCTTCTTCTTCCTATTTGTGCTATGAGGGACTGAGCTCATAGCACAGTCCCTCATAGCATAAATTAGGCTGAGGGAATGGAAGAAGTCCTTGGTGTTCAACTGAAAGAATCTAGTGAGCACAAGAAAATGGGCAGAAACATACAGATTAAAAACACAGAAGTATTATCCTGCCACAGAGGAACTATTGGTGTGCTTATTTTTCAGGGGCAGATGCTGAGTGTGAACCTGGTTAAGTAACTCGCCCAGAGCCCCCCAGGTAGTGTCAGAGCTGAGACTGTCCAGGTTGGCCCACTTTCTAAGCCTTTGTTCTGGAGAATCAAGGATAATAGAATGGAGAAACTGGGTCAGCTCCCATGAGGAGGCCAGGGTCAGGATATACGAGGGAGGTGATTCCAAACACTAAAACAAAGTTTTATTTTTCAGCAGTTTCCTCAGAACCTGCTTTGTTGGCAACGTGTCAGGCGAGTGATTGAGTCTGAAATAACTATATGGAGAACAGTCTGTGCTGTTCCAGTCCTTGCTGTGCTTGATGTCAGCACTGGAACCCCTTTTCTTTCCCCTCTAGGATGGGCTTCTCAGGATGAAATGCTGGGTTCAGGATTTCTTGTGCACTTTTGATCTGAGGCAGGCAACCATGTATTGGAGTTTCACACCCAAGAACCATTTCTTAAAGATATTTCACAATTTGAAAAAAAAGTGGAGGCATCTATTTTGTTTGCTTTTGGACAGAGACAGCCAAGATGGAGAGCCCAATGAGATCCATTGATAAAGGTGAAGGAGCATAAATGTTTTGGTTACATGGAATTTGATAGACAGAATGTTAAAATAAGGAATTCAGTGTATAAGGCAGAAGTTCTCTAGGCTTTTTGGAGATGAACACATCATACCGTCGTTGCATGTGATTTGTCCAGGTGGTTAAGGTCACTCCTCTGAGGCCTCTGAAAGCCATGTATATGTATGTAGCAGGATCTGAATGGGAAAGAGACTGGTAAGGGGAGCCATGTAAATGTGCAAACTAGATATAGCAGGTCCATATACATGGGGATGATATTCAGATTACTGCATTTAACAGCCAGTTGAGTACACTGAAACTCCTAGAGTGTAGCTTTGGGAAAGAGCAAGGAGCAAAGAGCTTTGGGAGTCCAAGATAGGGATGAGGCATTCCCTGGCCATGCTCTCAGGGACCCATTTTTCCTTCTGGATCCAGCCCCTACCACCCAGCCCTAGTAGTAAGCTGTGACCTCGAGGGGCTCTTCTGGCTGGAGCAGCAAGAACATTAGGGAGACATGAGGGTGCTCAGACTATGGCCTACCACTGTGTACCAGTTCAATGTGAATTCCCA